GGCCAAAGAAAATATGTCGGTATGTGAATATCTAGTGGGTGCAATTTGTCTTTTATTTTCTCAGTTGATTCCGGAATGCCGAGAATTGAGAGAATGCGACACTTCACATCTCAGTATGATATGTAGGGTATAGTACTATATTATTATTATTTACTAAACATTGGTAATTGCCAAGTGTAACAATATTTTTCAAAATTATTGTTTTGATATCATTTCTTAACTAAACATCATCTTTTCCGTTCAACTTTTCCATAGCATTTAAATTTTCTTCTATTCAGAAGTTGATTGATCGATCATATTATCAAAATGAATAGAATTTGTTCGAGGAAAAAAGTTATTTTTCATTTGACTTCATTTAAATCAATATGCTCTGCAATTTCCTGTCGATGTTTTAGTAAATATTGTGGTTTTTTTTATCTCATTGACAAAAAATAAAGGTTTATTCACTTAGAATGTGTTATACAAACTTGTATGCACAACTCTCTTTAGAAGACGAAACAATGCTTTGGTCATCAATTCGATATTCAGATATATCGCCGATGTTTTATCAATTAATGCTAGTAATAGTTATTTTCAGTCGTATGTCGACTTGATACTTTCTAGTGAATTTGAAATATAAGACACCATAGTGTCTGTTACATCTATTAAACATATGTGGATGTTTTACTGACTTAAAAAGATGAAGGCCAAATACCAACCAAATTCTATGACAAATGTAATGACTCCAGCTTTTCCATCGTTAACTTTCCTTAATTATGTAACAATAATCCAGTATAACCTGCTTTTGACTTCTTATCCCTTACTCAAGAGAATGCTCTAAGTACGATAAAATTTTTAAACATGGCGGGCTACTCACTGACAAGTTGATGTAACAGGAATTTCAACAGCCTCGTTTAAAGTCAGTATTTTGTTGATTTTATTTTCGGTATTATAACCTTGATCACAAATATAACCTTTCATTGAGCCGTATATTGTCTGACTTTAGTTATTTCATACCAATTGTTAGGCATATGTAAAAGTTAGGCCCTTGCTTTTACATGTATACTGAATTGACTAGTGATTAATTAAGGGTGGTAAGTAGTAAATACTATTAACTGATCATCCTAGGAATTTTGAAGGATATTGACCAATTGCCAATTTGGCAATAGTTCGATTGAAATACAATAAAAATTATAGCGAAGTCCTGGGGACCTGCAAATTTGCTTCGCTACGTCGGTAAATCGTGCAATTTGTATAAAAATACGTTTAAGTATATCTATCGAATTTCTAGTATATTATATCCTTCAAGTGTAACTGCTAGATAAAATTTGGAAAGGATTAAATACAAAACCTACTTTGGCGTTCAAAAATTATAGGATGCACTGAATTTTAAATATTAATATTTACATAAAAAGTCCGTTATAATATAACAAAATCATTACAAAAATTGGTTACAAAAGATAAAAACTTCAGTATTTTTAACTTCAAAGGGACAAAATCAGTTCTATCACTCTTTTCGAGTTTGTTATATCCGTAAAAATTTGTAAGATGAACAGGTGAGACTTTAAAAATCATCGCTTTTTCCGTCTGAAAAATTGGGATGGACAACCAGAGGACAGATCCTTCCATTTTTTTTAGGTGTGCATTAATTACACAGGAAAAAATTGTCATCCTTGTATTTTTTAGAAGATGCCATCTCAAAATTATATTACTCTTTTGTTCCTAACATTCGTATAATACTTTTAAAAAGTTTCCCAAAACTGATTTATAAACTCTATATGGCATTACATTAGAATGAACATTAGAAAACGAGAAATCTTTTATACTGCCATATTTGTGGTGCAAGAATCCATCATCGTTTTGTTATTTAATATGTAATAATAATAAATAAGAAACCATGAGTAACCAATGATGGCATCGAATATTAAATCGTTTGTCGTTTGGAAACACCAATTTTTCTGGTAATGAATCATTTGAAATTCATCGCAAAGTAAATATAATTCACAAGAACTTTGGCTAAGGGCGGATTGAGATATATCCAAATCTGCTACTTAAATGAAGGATATGAAGATAACGAACAGTATTCAATATCCAATATCCAAAGTCCATAAAACAATACAAAATAGGAGCTGAGTAAACACGGACCTCTAAAACATCACAGGTGGGATCAGGTACCAGGAGGTGTGAGCATTCCTTGCTGACCGGTCACCCCCGCCGTGTGCTCCTTGTCATGATCGGGAAATAACAGAAAAATCCGTCGTCAATTCAGTGTATAAATAATGGACTAACAATTACCGGTACAGTGTAGTATGCAAGACGTCAGCAATCAATTTCTTACTGTCTTTTCACGTTTCGTAATAATACTGATTTGCTTTTGTGTTGATTTTTTTGTTTGAGTGTTATTTTTTTTTTTTAATTAATTTACTAAATATTTACATCCACTGAATATTTTCTCCTTTATTTCTTAAGAAAACCCATCGCGTTAATCACTGCATGAACTACATTAGGCATGTCGCCTGTACAGATTTCTTGATCATGGCTGTTCCATCAATGAAACGTATAAAGACGTTCGCATCATTTATACAATAATTAAACTTTTTAAATCCTTTTTTAAATGATTATTTAAACAGATATAAATATAAACAATAAAATGCCTTTCTTTTTTTGTTATTACTGGAAGTAACGGTCGCAGCTATTGCAGAAAAAATTTACATAACCCGCGTAAGCGGGTTATGTATTTTTTCTGCAACAGCTGCTTCCGTTAATTCCACCAATAACAAACAAAGAAAGCATTTTCTTGTTTAAATGTAGGAAAATAAATCGTTTCTCTAGTAATATATAGTATCTCGTGAATTTTCGTCCATTCCGATTAAACAAATTTTGTAAAAAGGAAAATAACAATATCATCACATGTTAAACCTCGCTCATTGGACAATTGTTGACGAAACAAGCTGATGAAACAAGAATATCGGCAGTCTCGTTTAAAGTCATCATTTCGTAAGTTCATTATGGCTGATACAATCACCGTGGCAGCAAATATATCATTAAGATATTAACATGTAAATGCTGGCAGACGTTTTTTTTATACGAGTGGTTATGCAATTATTTACACACTGAATTGTAGATGAATTTTTCCATTCATTACAAGGATCACACGACGTGTGTGACAGGTTGGCAGGGGATGCTCAGTCCTCAATGACACCCGATACCAACTGTGGTATTATAAAAGTGTTTTCTCTGCTCTTGGTTTGTATTGTTTAATGGACTTTTTAGATTGAATACTGTTCGTTAGCTTCATACATTCATATCCCACTTTGGGGTCACAAAAAATTTTGTGTTAAAGAGATGAAGAAAAATTAATGTAAATTGTTGATTCATATATAAGAGAGTGTAAAACATTGAAAGTGATGCAAATACATGTACATTGTGATTAAAAGATCTCACATGATTTGTGGTTGGGTATGATTTTCTACTCGTTGTGTGTTTTAACCGCCTCGTCAAAGTTCGGGGATAAAAATAAAACAACAGAACTCGTAAATTAAAAATCGTGTCTTCGACCACAAATCATCTAAAATCTTATTTGAAACATACAAAAATTATGAACTTTTTTCATTTTTCTTTTTTCTAAATGTGAATATCTGAATCAACTCAGATGTGAATTACATATTCTGAACATATAGCAAGGTCTATTCGACTGTGATTAACTTCTGGAAAGTTTTCATACCAATTGTAACTGGAAGCAATTAACCTCTAGAACAGCAAAAGCCGAGTTCGTTCTGCAGCCTGTGATACTTGTTTGGGACCCGTAAGGTTTATATCGATGTTTTTAAAACAGACTATTGATCTTGCAGAGAGAACCCGGTGTTGTCGTTACTCGGAGGTGTAGATCAGAGAATGAAGACCTCACCGGGGACCGAAACAGACCCGATAATTATAAACTCTAGACACTGACCGGAGAGAAATGGGAATTCCGATCCGACATTGTGTCACAATTCAGGGACTTCTTCAATACTGAATTCTTAATAAGGGTCACGCTGTAGATTAGATTGTTATCTATTTATTCAGAATTCTCTCCGTTGTGTGTAATTCGTTTTAAATAGTCGAGGAAGATTTTACGCCATTTTTATTATGAACGGGTGGTGTTTAATTTTCTTTTACAGTCGCCTTTAAATAAGTTTTTATACGGGAAAAATGGCTGACATTAAAGTAATAGTAAAATAACTGATTAACCTTAAGAACTGAATGTAGTAAGAGTGCTCCAACAATTTAATACATTATAAGCTTACATTTCTGTAAACAAGGTTAAAATGTTCGAAATATATTTCGTAGGTTGGGTACGAAAATTGACGGAGGTCAACGAGGGATATACAAGAATGATAGCTGGGGGACGAATTTACGGAGATGTGAAGAAATAAATATGAAAGACAACTTGATTATCATCATGAAATAGAAATCATCTGACTTGCCAATGTCTTGCATGTCTTGCAAAGGTGTCATTAAAGGAACGTCATGGAATTCCCAAATCATGAATTGTATGGCAGCTCTAACTATCAGATGCCACGTAATTCATTTAACAGTTACAATAATTTGATTAATGTTTGCAGTTAAAATTGATCATTACTGAAATATCTGCTCTCTGTTCTCATATTGCATACAGTTATTCCCTTAACTGAATATTGTATCAGGCAAGACTAATGACATCTACGATAAAAACTAACAATTCCTATAAATAATAGAACAAAATATTGTCAGAAAGCATTTTATCATTAACTTAGTTTTATAATTTAAATATATCTCCTAGTTTTAGTTCCAGTTGCATAACTTCCCGATGTTTGAATTAAATAGAACTAAACTTAAATGAAGTTTCAGGGCATTGAGAAATCTACACCAAAAGGAAATACAAGATATATTGACATCCATACCAACAGTAAAAATTGACATGCATTTTAAATGGTTTGACATGCATTAAACATTTTTTCATGAATGAGTAAAGAAGATTAGTGATAAAAGATTTAACTTACTATGGAATTCGGTCTAGAGTACTCGATGTGTGATGGGGAGTTTTCCTTTACCGCTTTAACCAACTCTGTCGCCCGGAAGACGTGGTCTTTTTCATTAAGAGTAGTCCCACAGCAAATCTGAGTCACTAGGAAGAAAATGGAATCTGGCGTTATCAGCTGAAAATCTAACAAACAAATCACTGCATCCATCAAAAAATTGATCCGTTAGAAAATAAAGTGATGCAACTCCATGATAGGGTCTGTATGTCTCGTATCTCTACCAGAAATGAAAACGATCGAGTATAATTTTTGTCCTCTTTCAATTAAAGAAGAACTGAGACGCGATGTATATCGGAAAACCAGTTTTTAAAATATATATAATGTTATTGATAAGCAAGTCTTTTTAACAAAGAAAGCAATGGTGAGTTAATCTCTTATCATTTGGACTTGAGAGGTCGGGTTTTAACTCTGGACACACTGTCGTCGCGGGGTTTATAGTAATGAGGGGTGTAGGATGGGAATTGTTGGTGGGCGGCCAAACGGAATCTTTACTGACGGGAAGACGGGGTGTTTGTTTATCACTAAAAGAGCTTCATCGATCATTTTTGTGGATTTAATAAAATCTTAAGACTGTTTTTCATACTAAACAAATATTTTCTTTTAAGAACAGTGTTATATGGGTTTTACAAGTGTATGATGTACCGGCATTTCAAACATTTTATGTCAGAGGGTAAAGAATAGCTACAGAAAAAAGGGAGTCTAGTCTAAATAAATAAAATGTATGATGTGCAAGAAAAACCTCGCTAATTGTATGAAGACTGGAATTTTATTTAATTTAATTTTATGATCAGATGATCATATTATTCGTAGGCAGATAACCACCCCATTCTTCATGTACATTTTGGACTCTATGGTTAGTTGCATTTTTGTGCATTTTTAAGGCATATTCAGCATGCTTTCCATGTGAAGTTTGGGTTTGAAGTTTAAGGACACGCAGCGTACGTGTATCTGTCTTTACTCTACAATGTACCTTTCCCTCTGAGAAAAAGTTCAGGATTTTATTAATCAAATTTTAAGTGCCATCAGATTTCTGTGACCAAAAATAAATAAATAAAAAATGAAAAAATAAAGAATAAACAAACAAACAAAAAAATCAGCATACATAACAGATAGCAAATATAATAAAAAAGCTATCTTTTCAGAGAAAATAACAACAAACAGTTTTAGCTGAGGTTTTTATTGCTTGAACTCTTAAATCATACAGGGAAAAAGAAATTTAAGTTTTAAACTACGTTGCAATTGTTCTTAAACTGTCATTCTATAGTAATTTATTTACACTGTCTGTATGTTTTTATGCACTTTTACAGAAACAAAGTGTTAGGAAAGTTTTGCATGCAATATTTTGTAAGTATAAATTTGCTAGAAATTTTTATTTTATCATTTTTTTTTGCTTCCTCGGTGCTTTTGTGCATCGAAGAACAGAAATAGGATGGTTTCATGTCAATAAGTGTCAATTGAGCATGTCTAGCTAAAATTCCAGTGAGGAAATTAAAATGAGGTGTGTTGCTTGCAATATAGCCTCGTTGCTATTTGTATGTACTTTAAATGCATTGTTTTTAAAGTTTAAATTGCATTCATATGCCATGGCTAATGTAATGTAAAATCAAAGGTTTTTTGCAAATAACGATATTTTCTCCCAGACACTCCCTTTAGGGAAAGCCACAAAGAAACACACATCCGTTTTTCTGTGGAAATTTGGAAAACAAAAAGGTTAAAAATGTATCCTTTCCCCCCCAATATTAAATGCTTTTTAAAACAGATGACGACCACAAATGTGTTTTATAACGATATTCTCAAGAGAAAAAAAAGTTTGAAAAATGTAATTACAATTTGTTTAAAACTACAATAATGAAATCTTTTTTTCAAGTAAATTCTCTTTTGGGCGATTGTTTCGTTGCAAAATGCTAGAAAAAGTAAAATTCAAACATCGCAACACGAACATTTTAATGACATAATCTAGAAGGAATTTTCTGCAAATCACGGAATCGTGGGATTAAACTGTCCTTCCCTAACACGTTTAGATTAAGATGAATGATAAAGCAAAATCCTGATGATCAAAAGGGTGGCGAATTAATGTTAGAATAGGAATCCATATTATCTTACTATGTATGGTTCTGCTTATGGGAATCTCTCATCACAGTCAAACACAAAACATCAAAAGATAACAGTCTAAATTAAACAATGACTAATGCCCTTTTTCAACGTAACAGTTACAATAGTTTATAATGATTCTCAAATAACACGGCATAAGTCCTAACACTGATATATGATTTTTCTTTTGTTTTACATGACCATTCCTTGAAACATTTCATTACTATTCTTATTTTCACAATTGAAAATTAAAAAGCATTTTACGGATGTACCTTAAAAATACCATCATCATGGGATATCCAGTTACACATTAACATTCAATTAACAATGCTGTAGCTTTTGACATGATAAATGTAATATGACAACTGTGTATTGTAAAACGCGATTAGGCTTCACAATGACGCCGCGCGCACAATGACGTGAACTTATCGTGAATCTAAAGCAGACGACATGAAATTCAATTTCAATACACTCAAAATATCAACATTTTCATAATAAAACTATAGACACATTCTAAACAATGAAATATTCATTAACATTTCCTCAGGTTGTACTAGAAAGACAGATTATATCGCTCGGCGTTATTTTAGTTGTTGTTGTTACTTCTTTTTTTTAGGTAAACATATATGAACACTTTGGAATGTTAATTAGTTTCATTTTTTTCCCTCGCTCCATTACATTGTTTGTTAGATAACTAAAGTGTTTCAGAAAAAAAACTGTCTCCTTTCATGTAAATTGTGTATTGAATTTTATTCAAGCATCTTTCTTATCTTGTAGCAAACTTATGTCTTTCACTAATTGGCAATTTTCAATTGTCATTGATAAACATGAGTGCATGACTAATTATGATTAGCCATGTACTCACTGACGATTGAAAATTGTTTATTAGTGAAAGACAATAGCATCTTAATCTTAGATACACATGTAGCTTCAAGAAACAATTTAACGACCAAGAATGCCTTCTGTTATTTTTCTTTCCGCTTTCTGTAGATCTTCTTTTAATGCTCAGTAATATGCCACCCTGCTTTGAACAGTGGCGATTCCGGAATATAAATTTCAATATCAATAGCTTATATCAACATTAAAGTACGTTGTCAGACATTGATATGCTTCCGAGGGCTACAATATGCGCTGTAGAGAGATGGATTCAGGCAGATATTTATCGTTGTCTGGTCTCTGCTCTCTACCCACACACCGCGCCAATTTGCTCGGCTCCATATTTACATGCAAACTGTGTCCAACGAGGTGTTGAGGAAATTTCCCCTTCAGCTTTGCATGTCAAATGTTATCAAGAAACTTGGTTGTATCACTGCAGTTTTCAACAGATTTGAAAAACAACGTGTGAAAATATACGAGATAAAACACTTTGCATTACTGATAGGTACTGAGTCAATGGTGCACTATCTATGTCATTGAGAAGCCTCCTTCAAATACATCCATCCCCAAAACCTTTGTAAAAAATACAGTTAGGTTTTCACGAGCATGCATCATACGATGCATTTGTTTATCTATGTGACGATCGACGGTCATTTGAAAGATAAGGATAAATTGCCTGGGAAGATCCGGTTAAACCATACGACGTTTTATTTTAAGCGGTTAAAAAGTGTAACAATTTTGAAGAGTGCGGCTTTTCTTTTGCCATCAAATAAACCTGAACATGTATACTGAATACTGTTCCAACAAACACGATTTATTTCATTTTTTTTATTGCAGTCATATATTTTTTTTTCAATGCAAAATATTTGAAGCTGAATGCTTTAAAACATGGTATTTACTAGATAAGGATTTATAATTCCAATACAGACATCTGTACTGGTCCTTTTTGTTAAGTTATAGGAATGTATATAATTTTGATGCATATTTCTCTTAAAATGATTTTCTATTTTTTGTAACATCCCCACCCCTCCGGCCAAAAAAATCTTAATTGTACTTTTTTGATATCGATGGGATTTTTTTTATATTTTGTTACAAATTAGATTGCTAGATCGAAACAATCCTTTCTGACTCGAACTACAAGAAATTACATTACTTCTATGTACAAAATGTTCCGTAAAGATATGCCTCATTTAAATAATGGCGCACGACAACAATGAATAATACACACTCACTCACACCCATACACACACACATTCAATTTAAAACCGGTTATTAAGAAAAAACTGAACGTGAGAAAATAAGAAAAATGGTGAGCAATGCGACAATTTCAATCGTGCCCTTGCTTACATTAATCAGATTATCCGACTAAGACCGAATGACGGACATTTGCTGTTTATAAAAATAACCTACAGCAAGAGACTTATTCTACAATAATATCCAAAATTATGAAGATTATCAGAAAATAAAATAACAAGTAGATTTTAATCAATGATATTTGATTACAAGTCAGAAAATACTTGTATAATAGAATAAAAGAATCTCTGCGTAACACAAAAATAAAGCCTGTTATAAGCGTATGGTTTTTCGATCTGGAGCAATGGATCGCGGATCAAGTAAGAAGTGAGTATTACGAAGTCACATGTCTTAAACATAAAAATCGGAGTTTGTGTTATTGACATGATTCAGTTAGGGTACAAGGTTTTTCCTTTTTTCTGTTTTATCTTAATTTTCACTATGTCTTCTTTTATGCTTCAAGGACTGTGGGATAACACAGTTTTGATAACCTGGTAAGAACTGCATCAATGTATTAAATTCAATAAAATAAATTGTACTCACCTACATGTATTTTGGTTTTAAATTATCATATGTGTAAGAAAGTATTACAATCATTCTCTAATTTTTTGGATTCGATAGCAAATGAATCACTCAACAATCGATTTTTTTGTGAAGACTTCTAACTAACTGTGGATTAACTCGGGTATCTTAATTGGACGGTATCTGAAAATCAAATGTACCCTTACAGCAATAGTTGTCAAAATGGTCAGTAAAGCGTAAAAAAGATACTGAAATCGACCTGTTTCTTGACTGTTTCAAATATCATAAATATCCGTTTTATTCATACTTTCACACACTTCCATAATTGTTCCGTTAATCATAACTTGTTAGTCAATATTATTATTTCCCTCTAGACATTATCTATAACAACTATAATTCTTTTGTCGATGAAATTTATGAAGTTTTATTTTTCTATTCAATGTGAAACATTCTTCATTATCAATTCAAATAATACAGAGGAAAAATAATTTATCTAATAAAAAGTGAAAACACAGGAACCTTGTTTTATTTTTTGTTAAAACACGTTCTGAAATGCATTTTGCGTAGTTTTACAACAATAATTCAATCAATGTGCAATCGACATTATAAACCGGCAAGCTTTTCAATGTGATGCTTAGCTTTAGAGATCGTTTGGTTCAAATTCAAACAACATATCTGAATGTTCAAAACTTGTCAAAACTAATATAAAAGTTACTGTATCATTTAAAGTAAACACTACAAATAATAAAGCTACAGTGAAATTTATTAAACTTTTATTGAAATTAAAGCAGTTCAATTTAAAAAAAATTATCACAGAGAGGATGCGTATATGAATCCACTCCCACGCGAGGCTTAAAGAAGTTTAAAAATTAAGGGTGAAACACACTCAGGTGAAAGTAACCTACCTGTACTAGGTGAGGTCCCGCTAGTGATGCGCTATCTTCCATCTGCTAACTTCACAGTGCTTGCAAATCGTACTGGGATGAAAGGGAACGGAGTTTGGCGTGCGCTACTGTAAGAAAAAAATGCAATGAATCAAATCTGGTAACTTATTGGTCGGTTCAGTGTGATCAATAGTGGGTCGTTCATTGAGGCATCCTTGGCGGCGTATACTCACTGATTCCGATTATCTCAGAATCCAAATTTAATTGAGAAAACTGTAGATTATTAATGTGTATATGTTAATTGATATAGATTTGTCATTAATTAAGTCATTGGACAAATATGAGGAGAAAATTAACTGTTGACAAGCAATAGCAGGCTGCACTGGCGAGAGTACGTATATTTATGACAAATATTTAAAACCTCGTTCAATTAAAACAGACAAAAAATGCACATACACCCAGAAAAAAATGAATGAAATGTTTTCAAACGTCATTCACTGCTTCTTTTCCAAGTTTCTACAGATAAATGTCAATGCATTAAATGTTGTCGGAACTTAACGATCACAGAAGAATTTACGCCAAATAAGACGCATGTATAATTCAACAGGATAGTATAGTTGAATGGGTTTCGCGTTTCTACGATGCAACACGAACAGACACTCTTTAAACAATATAGCGACGATTTGGAGCACTTCAATGAATTTCTAATGTTTTTCTTTTGTTTCTGACCCGCTGGCATGATCAAAGTGCAGGTTTCCCTTCATATCTTTATTCTTTGATTATCCTCTGGCATAGTGTTAATTTATCCTATACATATGTTTTTAATGTGATCCAAACACAACAATCAACAGATTGATGAGGAAATCTATTATTGACGATGTCCGTTGATGTTTGCAGTGGCTAACCTTTTTTTTTCATCTTTTCCATATGCGAGCCCGAAATTAAAGAGGAATAATATCTACTTTGAAGCTCAGTATGTTTCTGTGCAATGTCATTTGATACATTATAATTGTTGAAAGAGGTTTAATCTTTTCCTTCTGTCAAAAATTGTAATACAAATAGTAATTTGATTCAGAAACACAAATCAAACATTTTCTATGTATACATGTCATGCTCAGGATTTGTCGACGTTCTTCATGTTGTCGCAAATTATGAATGCATTTTCCCGCAAAGTGGTTGTAAAAATTACAGACTTAAGACTGGTATTTGTAACTTATTCACTGTTCGTGTTTGTATGAAACTAGTGCTGTATTTGGAAATCAATTCTTTGGATGAAATAAGTTAACGAACATTATTCAAGATCAAAAGTCCATTATCAATATAAATTTTGAAGCAGAGCAATCATGGACCTCTAAAACACAAGAGATGGGATCAGGTGTAATTTCCCTGCCCACCGGTCACACCCGCCATTTGCTCCTTGTCATGATCGGGAAATAACGACAAAATTCGACGGCAATCCAGTGTGTAAATAACGGTCTAACAATAAGTATGATAAAAGTCAGTCAGCATTTAACTTAACGAAAGATTGCATTCTGACAATGTTTTAATATATTCATCTTTCTGTTGCCGATAACTAACATTCCTCCACTAACCAAAGATTGTTTTATGATAAAGATAGGCTTTGAAGCAGCATATACTCCCCTGTTTAAGGACTTAATTAAATATTACCCCTCAATGGCAGCTGATACCACTTCTGAAATTTGAGAGGTCCCTGTTTGCTCTGCTCCTGATTTGTATTGTTTAAACGGATTTTTTATACACGAAATACCAAATTAAGATATCTGATTTTACATAATTATTGTTGTTCAATACATGCATGTGTATTTTATTTTAAATCATATAAATTTGTAAACCAACTTTTGCGAACGAGAAATATCAGCGAGTTTCGCGACATTCTTTTACTCAGGAATATATCTCGTCGCGAACATATAATTCACCTACCTTTATGTACATGTATTACAAACAGAAGGATCGCGAACATAAGATGTCGCCAATAACATTAGGTATAACTTTTGCAATGGTTAACCGGGAACAGAAAAAATTACACGTACATTTAGAGATATATAATTCCATGTAGTTTTACATTAACTACCTTATATTCTTCTATTGTGTGAAAAATTACATTGTGTTATAAATTACAGGGCTAATTCATATATATTTTGAAAAAATTGTATGTAAGACTGCCTCAGTAGTATAACGTCATGGCATAAAGATAAATATTTCTGGAGACAAACAAAACATTTTGATATTCCTTCCAAAAAATTAGTTAACTGGAGTAATTGTGCATGTCTTGATGGCATTTGTTTGACATTTTGTCGTTTGTGCTCCAAGAGGAACGAAACAAAATTATTCTGAATGAAAACTAAAGATCTATTCTTATTTAAGATGTGATAAATGTCAAATAGGTATATTTTGACATAAGGCAATATTTGTATAGCATTAATGATGGTTGAAAATAAATTACACTGATTTGCATTTCTTCATTTATTGACAAAATGTGTAAAAATAATATAATAGGGGTGGGGCGGATGCACTTGCATTTCAGCATTGATTTTGATCATGAATAAACAATTACGGGGGTAGGAGCAAAGCAAACAAGGACGTCACAGGAGGCATCAGGTGCTCCTGTCGACCAGTAACACACGTCGTGTGCTCCTTGTCCTGATCGGGTAATAACAGAAACTCAGTAGGTAAATAATGGACTAACACTAAATATGAGAAACGTCAGTCAGCATTTAACTTTATGATAAATTGTTTTTGCTAAAAAGGTAATTGAATGGACCATAGAACTTACGGAAACAAGACAGGTGAGATTCTTGTTTCATCACTTTGCTTGTCAATAACTTATTACCTGTACTCGATTTAGCATTGTACATACATAGAGCATGCTTAAATGAATGTCGAATTAATTGAGAAATAAGAATCCGTGTGGAAGTGACAAGGGTATATTGCTGCTTATGTAACTAAAGTTGACGATTGAAAAGTTAGTGCCATCACGTTTATGATAAAGCTTTCTCAGATTACCATAAACGTCTTTTTCTAGTAAAATATCCAAATATAAAACAGATATGTCAAACTGACTTCAAGCTCACTGGGATATACTGTACATGTATCGTGTCGTCATAAAAAAATAAGCATTGTTAATTGACAATACGTCGTCGATAAATCTAAATGTCGAGTTGAAGGCCACAGCAAAAGGCTTTCTTTTTCTCGCATAAAAAATTGAACAAATTATGCTTCATATAAATGCAAAGATAGGTCTACTAATAACGGGGTGCAAATGGAACAAGTGGGAATTTCAAAAGATTGTTGGAAGATCTGGTCTCCACAACTCCCGTAGATATTGTCAATCAGAAACTCAATTATTTAGATATTTAGATATATTCGAATTTAGATATATCGACGACGTATTGGCAATTAACAAATGTTATTTCCATTCTGATGTAGATACGATATACCCGGTATCCCGGTGAGCTTGAGATAAAAAAAAATACCACAGAGTCTGGCATATCTGTTTCATATTTGGATATTTTACTTGAAAAAGACGATAATTTTAATCCAACAAACAAGCTCTACATGTATGATAAACGTGATGAGTTTAACATTTCAATCATTAATTTCCCTTACTCATGCAGGAATATACCTTTATCAGCTGCATTAGGGGTTTATATCTCTCAGTTGATTCGATTTGCAAGAGCCTGCTCTACGTATGTACAATTCTAAATCGAGGTAAATTATTGACAAACAAGTTGACGAAACAAGAATGTCAGCTGTCTTGCTTAAAGTCATCATTTCGTAAGTTTTAAGGTTGATACAATGACTTTGTCAGCAAATACAATTTATCATTGAGTCAAATGCTGATTGACGTTTTTCATACTAATTGTTAGTCCATTATTTATACACAAAATTTACGACGGATTTATCCGTTATTTCCCGAGTCAAATGCTGAGTGAAGTTTAGGCCATTAGTTACACATTGAATGAAAGACGGATTTTTCCGTCATTTCCCGAATTTGACTAGAAGCACACAACGGAAGTGACCTGTCAGCAGGGGATGGTCAATCCTCCATGGCACTGATCCCACCTCTGATGTTTTGGAGGTCCGTGTTTGCTCTGCTCCTATTTTGTATTGTTTTATGGACTTTTGAGCTCGAATACTGTTCGTTATCCACAAATTTTACAATAACATTTTTGCATTAACTTCAGAGAACTTATTTGTACAATCAAATAATTTTTGTAACAAAGTAAGTTTGCAATAGACCAATGAAAAGGTATGTAAATCTACGAGTTCTATTATTACTGAAAAGGCAGCTGTCCATGCTGTCAGAAAGGACGTTAATTTATCGTTGGATATATTATATATGAAGGTGAATAGTCATAAGTTTTTATATTGTTGATTTCAAATGTTCCAAAAGTTCCTTGGAATTTTATACTATCAACATCTGATTTTCACCACTTTTAAGTATTCTTGAAGTTTCTCCAGACTACTGTTAATACTAGTATTTGAGTGAGGAGTAAAGAAAAAGGTTTGGTAGAACATTTACTGAAGTCCACTATGAATGTTTGTGAGGATTGTTAGGAAGTTTCGGAATCCAATATATACTCGTAGATATAGTAATTCAAATTCATTTTGAAACAATATGCAAAATAAATTGAGATGAAGCAACTGATTGAAAATTCCCCCGTTTCTGAAAATGTTAATGAAATTCAAATTTCGAAACACCATTATTTCCCGAAACTCCAACTTTGTTTCCTGGCAAGGCTTAATGAACCAAGCAACAGGCTGCTTAATGCACTTTATAGGTTGAATAATTCTGAACAAATGGTCCGATAATGCTATTATTTACAAACACTTGACGGACCTGATAGAAAATCTTTTCCAATACTAGTATCTTCCTGGATTATGGACAAAATAATCGCAGAACCATCATGAACTTCTGTTGAAGACTGAATATTTGTATCAATAATGTTTTCTAAATGCATATTATCAAGGACAACCATTTCGCCATTATAGTGTTGCTCATCAGACAAGACATTTGCATGCATGTCTCATATATCATTTTATATCAAATATTGGGAAATCAAATAGCACAGTTGAACAAACAGAACAAATATGTATATGCACCCTA